ATTATTTTTTTCAAATTTCTATTTTTTTTAGATTGAGTTTTTTGTATTTTATTCTTTTCACATTGGATTTTTCCGAGACCGTCCTCTTACCTTCTGGGGGCGGGGCTTCCTCTGAAGTGCAGAGTATTTCAATTGGTCTGCTGGACGTTAACAGCAAGCTTTTATTGGTTGAGAGCGAGCGATTGGATTGGATTGGCAGGGAAGAGAATGTAAACTGGAAAACACAATTTGAAAGGAAAACAACTCATAAATCTTAATCTGAAAAAGAAAAAAAATGTTTGAAAAATTTAAGTTATAAAATATAAAACTAAAAATCCTTTAAAATTAAAAAAACTGCAAACTTAATCTCTTTTCTTTCTTTCCTCGGTGAACATTTTCATTTTTTAAGCAGGGTTTATACAGGAATTAGTAACTCTAATGTAATGCTTTTTAATGCTCTTAGAAATAATTCTAATGCCATCAACAAGTACCCATCGGCCGGATGCAGATATTTCCCGAATTCCTTGTTTTCCAGCCACTTTTGTTGAAATTAGCATTTTCCGCATTCTCTAGCTTTTTCTCCACCTCGAGGTTCTTTTCTGAACGTACAGCTATATGAAGCAGTTTAGCACAAACATATCGCGAAATAATATATCTGACAAAATTGATATACTTTTTTTTTAAAGAAAGAATTTTAAATGCCACAATAATCAAATTTAATGAATTGTAATGCCAATTAAGGCCTTAATTTAAAAAATAATAATTTAATGACTTTTAATGATTTTTAATGACCCGTGGAAACCCTGTTAATGAAACTCAATTTTTTTTTCCAAATTTCCCTCTAAAAAAGATATTTTTTCTTTAAATAATGGAACAAAATTCACCCTGAAATATGGGGTTCAGACATTGATTCTAGGTGGAAAACTCGATTCCATCACTTCTGTTAGCTCTGCTAACAAGGTCAAAGTGTCTCACTGATCACGTGGTGACGTAATAATGGAAGCATGACCTACAGTTCTTACTGGGATCCAGCATTTGATTGGTTTAACTTAAAGCGGAGCAGGGCCTCCTGAACAACCTATACTGAACTTATAAACAGATTTATTAGCAGCTTAAGCTGCATCATTTCAAAGACTTCATGCATTTGTTTGAAGGTTATAGTTTACTTCACA